CGTTTGAGAGAGCGTGGATTAGTGGTGAGTTCGCAGACAGAGAATAATGTGCATCGTGCTACTACTAGTTTACCCGTTTAATTATAGATCCACTAGGATGAATACAATAAAGTTTATCTCTCACCAAATAGAATATTTACTAAGAAATCACAACGTAACCACAGACACATTGCTTGGTATATATGGTGTGTGTGTATGTGTGCATGTGCAACACATTCTCACACCCAAAGCCTCAAAATATGACGATTCGGGACGCCCCAGCGCGTCAGGAGACGACGATCAGGGACACACTGATGACGCAGCGTCCCAGAGCGTCGGTATCCGACGCCGGTGGTGAGACGGACATTAGAACGACTTGTGAACTACTTAACCTTCCCCTCACCCCATTCCTAACCTTAAGGTCACAGTTACTGACCTTAAGGTTAGGAATGGGGTGAGGGGAAGGTTAAAAAGTTGAATAATGTCCGTGTGACCACGGGCGTCAAACAGTGACGCCAGCGGAGCCACGTGTCCCTGATCGTCACCTCTTGACGTGCTGGGGCATCCCGAACCGTCTTATTTCGAGGCTTGGTCACACACGTCATATTTTGACGTTTTGGGTGTGAGAATGTGTGTGTGTGTGTGTGTGTGTGTGTGTCTGCTCTGTCTTCTCCATCCCCAGTGAGTCGTGGAGGATGGCTGCTTATACTGAGCCAGTCTGGAGGTTTCTTCCTGTTAAAAGGGAGTTTTCCTCTCTACTGTCGCTGCATGCTTGCTTAGTACAAGGATTGCATCAAGCCTCTGACACTAGTCAGTGACTCGATGCGACCTGCTGGGTTCCTTATATATGAACCTGTTTCCGATTGGCTTAATGACCTGTCCTGTATTGGGATGTTTACTGTGTGAAGGTCCTTGAGATGACTCTTGTCGTGATTTGGTGCTTTATAAATAAACTTGAATTGAATCTTTGTTTAGAACAAGCCTGACTCTAGTGTTGAGGCATACCTGAACGGTTCTGCTGGCGTTAATGTGCTCCTGGTGGAGGCGGTCCCACTGCTGGTTTTGCTGATACTGTGAACACGAAAGGAGACGGGTTTAACTCAGAAACAGGAGTTTGGAAGTGATGGCGTGTCCAGCCGGGATTCAGCCGTCACCTTCAGAATGTTGCTGTGGTGTTTCTGCAGCCTCTCCAGGTCCGTGGGAAGAGCCACTTTAATGAACTTGTGGACGGGAGCCTCCAGGCGCCTCAGTGTCAGCTTGTTGCCTTCCTCTGCCATGTGTCCTGCCGAGTGCCCACAGCCAACACCTTCCTCTCACTGTGCCCACGCTGTAAACACCAGCAGAGCTTCGATTTATTAAATACGTAAATACGATTTAATAAAGTCTGTGACACATGCAGTCCTGCCCGCACAACTTGAACTGGATCCTCCATAAGATTATTTCCTCTATTTACAAATGTGTCAACATTCTTCAGTGAAAAGAGGAATCCAAGCAGAAGCTACACGATCTGAAGGGAGCCGAGCAGCGATCCTTAATGAAACGACACCTTCAGACAGAACTTCACTCATTTAGGTTTCATTCTTAGACTGTTTATTTGCATTTCTCACCTTTATTATGAGGACTTATAGTCAAACCTACTGTATATTAAATCAGTCACACCACTGGATTAATCAGCAGCACTGTACAGCGTTTATACCCAACTGCATGCAGGTAACTGCATTCCTCTCAGCCTTTTGCACCACAGACAAAATTAATCAAATCCTACCTTAAAAGGTATTTTGATAACGTCCCTGCACAATAAGGCAAACAAATCGCTAATCTCAAATTTTCAGGAAAAATGAAAATATTGAGGAATAAAACTGTATTTTTTCTACTATCAAGTAGAGGTGGGAAAAATGATCGATTCTAAGATGCATCGCGATTCAGCCGTGCATGATTCCGCATCGATGCAGCAACGTGACATAATGAGATTTTCTCCCTATGTCTATGTCGGGGGTCGGCAACCGCGGCTCTGGAGCCGCATGCGGCTCTTCCATCCATCTGATGCGGCTCTCTGTGCTTGTAAAATAATGAATGGATATTTAAATAAAATGCTTTATATTTTACTGCATTAATTTTACATCTGTATGACAATTCTAAATGTAAAGATTGTCTGCGTAAACCTGAACAGGTCCAACCCGGTCTTACTGTGAGACCGGGTTGACGCGTCACACTTGTGCGTAATCATATCGGCGCTTTCTAAGCTGAAGACGATGTCAGATTCTGGGATTCTCCTCAGACGGCTCCTGGATGTGCCGCCACATTGGAGACAGGAACAAGCGCTATTCAGTTTCATAATCAGGGAACATTTTCTAAGTGACAAGTCTCGCTTCAGTCAGAGGAATCTTCCTGCATGCGCTCTGGTTCTGCGACGCGCTCCAAGCCCCTCTCCACATCCTCAGCTCTCTGAGCACCTTATGTAGTACACGCTGACAGCGAGCTGCGCTGAGCAGTGTCCAGCTCAGATGTTCAGATGGGAATCTTTTCTTGAGTGATTTAGCTACATCTGCGATGTGCAAAACGAATAAAGTGTCAGTTCGTCTGCATGTGTCGGGGTAATTCTTTCTATTCTTTCTCCGTCAAAATAAACGGTCAAATACGGGAACTGTCCGATCAACACAAGCCCTGCTTTTAACTGTTTTGTTTTCTTGTGAAAATTGTTGCAAAGAGATAAAATTAAACTTGATTAACACCAGAGGCAGGCGCACTGTGCCGGTATCTCCATCACTGTAAATGAGGGAATAACAAAATGATCGGGTCCTTTTCTGACCTTCCCCACCTACAAAGTTTAATTACAACAATCAAACGTGACAGAGCCTGGATTTGTATGCTGAACTGTCTAAACATGTTTTAAAAAGAAGCGTATGACAAAAGTGGCACCTGCTCAGTAAAACCACCAACAGGGTGAAAAATATCTAAATATTGTCGGCAGAGACGGGCTACAACTTCTGGATCCACTTTATATAAATCGTTTTATTGATCACCCGTTGTGATTGGTTAAAGCAGCTTTCTGCTGTCTGAGGGTAGGCCCCGCCCACAACGCCGCGGTTGCTGTGGCTCCCAGTGTTTTCTTTACTGTGGGAAACGGGTAATAATGGCTCTTTGATGGGAACAGGTTGCCGACCCCTGGTCTTTGTCTATGCAAGGACAATAAAGTTTTGAGGTTTTATAATTACTTCTGGGGGCAGAGTTGCAATGACATGCGCACTGCGTTGCCCTAGCGCCAATTTAAAACAGAAAAGGCGGACAGGGATACAGGGCCAACATTACCAGTAATCAAAGATGTGCCCGTTACATTTAAATCGGATGTCTGGGCTAATTTCGGTTTTGGGATCCTGGATATGAAAGAATCACTTAACACAGTATTTGTTTACTATTTTTAAGTTCAGTAATATTCTATCTTAAAGCTGCTCTACCGAAAACATTATTTCTTATATTATTTAAGTAATTATAGGCAGCACACTTTAAACATTATTGCTCACTATAGTGAATAGATGAATGTTCTGTTTTTCAGGGATTTCGAAATCAAAAAGAAATTGAAAACTATTCTACTGCTTTTATTAAGTAATGAAAGAATCGGGATGCATTTCAGACTCAAATCGAATTGTAAGGCAGATAAAGAATCGAGGCTCTTCATTTTAATGTTCGATCTGCTTCCCTTTGATCTCATGTCTATGACATATCTAGAAAGGCCATCCTCGGGTGTTTCACATTTTCATTTCATCTGTTGTTTCTCCAACTGCGTCCCACTCTAGTCAGACACGATGCAGCTCAAGAACGTGATGGCACTGTGGAGCAGCAAAACAAGAACACTTCACTGTTCATATTCCTAAACCATTTGAGTTCATTTGCTGATTCATATCTTTGTGTGTTCATCGTGACCTTATTAGGAGATTTTCTGCCTTAATAGTTGAAATAGTTTGGATTTCACTGTAGATTTAAGACAAATCAATCTGAAAAGGTAATTAAAGAATACGATGTTTGGTAACCGCTGGAAACGAGGCTCGCTGTGGTGGAAATTTGGTCCAATCTTATTAGCAGAATTGTTTTACTTCAGACAAATAGGAAGGTTTTCCGGTGAGAACGGCTCATTAAGGTCCCGCCACGGCGTCTGAATCGGATCTAAGCCCAGATTTCGACTAAACCATTTCCTAACCCCAGTTTAGTTTGACTTTTGAGCGGTTCAGAGCTGAACTTGTTGGTGATCATTGTCCTGCTGCATAAATCAGCTGCACTAAAGTAAAGCTGGGGATTCTCTGCTATAGAGCAGAGTTCTCAGTTCCATCAATTTAGAGTGAGTGGTCCGGGTCCTGAAGCAGCAGAGCAGCCCATGGGCCTCATAGATTATTAAGACTCTACTTAAAGAGCAAGTCACCCCCAAATCAACATTTTTTTCCTGATAAACTATATAAATGTGTGTCTAATCGTGCTGCAGACACGTGTCGTCAGTAGTTTTGCACTTTAGTGCATTTTAGTTAAAATTTTACATTTTCTGCCTAAAACTGTCAGCGTTGTGCCGTTGTCAGGTAAAAACTCTGCACTGCATTTGAATTTAAATCTGTCATCGCTATTGGCTAAGAGGTACCATATGATGTCACAATGTCATTGTGAGCCTGTGTGTGTGTGTGTGTTAGCGGCTCCGCCCTCTCGGTCAGCTAGGCAACAGCATTTGTTGCATTTTTCAAACAGGAAGTGGGAGTGGAGTAATACTCTGGTGGGGGGTGACTTGCTCTTTAAGCAAAGTCATTTTCTGACCTATAAAAACCTGCTTATGCACGAGTGAATGCATTTCTGCTTTATAAATAACATTCGTCCTAAAAATGTGCTCAGGTGTTTTTGAATCATGTCCCACCTCCTACACTCCCACTTTATGAGGCAAAAACTTTATGAATACTCTGCATACAGTGGGGCAAAAAAGTATTTAGTCAGCCACCGATTGTGCAAGTTCTCCCACTTAAAATGATGACAGAGGTCAGTAATTTACATCATAGGTACACTTCAACTGTGAGAGACAGAATGTGAAAAAAAATCCATGAATTCACATGGCAGGATTTTTAAAGAATTTATTTGTAAATCAGGGTGGAAAATAAGTATTTGGTCACTTCAAACAAGGAAAATCTCTGGCTCTCACAGACCTGTAACGTCTTCTTTAAGAAGCTTTTCTGTCCTCCACTCGTTACCTGTATTAATGGCACCTGTTTGAACTCATTATCTGTATAAAACACACCTGTCCACAGCCTCAAACAGTCAGACTCCAAACTCCACTATGGAGTTACAAAAAGTGTGTAAATGTGTCTTAAAGTTGTGGTTGACTGAAATTTTTTTTAAGATTATTTCCAATTCCAATGAGTCCCTCTGGGTGTTTCATGCAGGCTGAACATGAAAATAGTCTCCTACACCTATCTCCTGCATTAGCTTCTGATAGAAAACAGATGGTGAAACTCTAGGATTAGAAATTAGCATCCAGGAAACAGCAGAGAACGTCTCAGCTAGTAGAAGCTAACTGTTAGCATTAGCTACTCCACCACGCAGCTGAACTCTTCCAGGCTTGTGTTATTTGTGGAGATAAAACATCAACGTTGCAGAGCAAACAGAGTCAGTGGTAGAGTCGTGTTGCTGTTAGCCAATCAGAGGAGAGGTGTCCAGATATCAAGAAGTAAGACTCCAAAATATGCCGTCTGAAGCTCAAATGTGATGCATTCCAACTAGAGACCTCTGCAAATGTATCGATTAAACAAGTCAACCACTCCTTTAAATTCACCATGTCACCATCTCAACGGCTGCACTGCCAGCGTCCCCGTCTCCAAACTATGCTTAAGTTATTCCTGTCAAGTTTACTTTTTATAAATCAAGAAGTTTGCATGGAAAAGGACCAGACCATCACACCACCACCGCCATGTTTGAATGTTGCTATATTTGTTCTGAAAAACGGTTTTAGTCATCTTCAAGCTGACATGACAACAGTTTAGTCTGAGTGTTTTACTTTGTCTAAAAGTCATCAGGCCGGATGTAGTGAAACTGAATGCAGCTTTCCACACAACGAGGTAAATTACCACCAAGTCATGATTTAACACAGGGGTCATTTACTTCTTCACACGTGACCAGGTTAGTTTGGAGAACGTTTTTCCTCTTGAACACTGGTTTGCTGATCTGAAACACTTGCGGGTCAAAAACACAACTGTGTGTGATTTAAGTTTGTAAATGTGGAGACACGGTAGCACGAGCCTCCACTATAAAACAGCAGAGTATCCTGACACGGAAAGTAACGTGGGTTTGGATTTATAGTAAACAAAAATACAAATGAGAACATTTAATCTATTTTTATCATGATTAATTTACAGGACCTGAAACGTAAAGTTGCTGAAAGCGAACACGACGTGGTGTGCGTCACGCGTCTGGAGCTGTAACGTCTGAACCATAGACTGTACATACTGAACAGAAAGTGAAATTACTTTGCTGATAGCCCACTGAGTGACCTTGAATAAAGACACTTTCGCTGTTTTAGCAGCTTATTAAGGTAACAGCTTCGCGTGCTGCTATACAACTTTTAAAAAGACAGACAGCAGCTAACATTTAACCCAGCGTTCTTCCATCACAGCAGATTAAGCGACACTTACCAGCGACAAGACTCGTTTAAATCCACTAAAATCCCGCCGGAGCCTCCATTCTGTCCATAAAGTCTACTTTCAGCGACATTTGTTAGTTTTAAAGACCGCTGTTGTAGTTTCTACTAACAGAAACTTCCATGTAAACAACTCTCATTCGGTGCATCCACGAAAAGTTTCCGACTTCAAACAGCAACCGGAGAACATTTATGTTCCCGGCATTCATTCAGGCCTGTCCCCGCAAGTGTGCTAATGTTTTGCTGTTTCTATTTAAAAATATCTAATAATCTAACGAAGAAAAACAAAAAAAGCTAAAAATAATGTAGAATTTTATTTGTTCCAGCAGTTGTAGTAAAGTGTATTTTCATACATTTCGGTCAGTGTAAAGAAATAAAATACATATGTATAATTAAATAAAGAGATTATCTCAAAATTATAACTTTAAATAATTGCAATGGCAACTTTGGAAAACAAAGTAGCTCAAAACATTGTTTTTATTCATCTTAAACTAAAAATAAAGGAAAATTATGTTGAAAATAACAAGCACTAATTAATTTCCTAGACCATCCAAACATGACAATAATTTACTGACCCAAATGAAAGAGTAGATTTCATCAATGAAACCTTTTCTCTTGCTTTGCAATAGAAATTGTTTCATTTACAGAATGCCTTTTGCAATTTTTCTAAAATAATTAATATTTTTGTTCTATATTAATAACAGTTGCCTTCATTTGAACCCTTTTGGATTACATTAATGACAAGATCAGTAAAGTTTTTGAGTTCAGAGAGATTTTTGTTGACAACCGTTGGTACAACAGAGATGACCTTTAGTTACATCCAGTACTGTTGTGAGTTACTATGTCATTTATGTTATTGGCATTGATGGGAAGCTAGTGAGAAGCAACATTTCATTTGTACCTGAGTATTTTTTTAATTACCATGTAAGGAATGAGAATAAATCTCTTGAGTCTGGAAGGATTGCCACTTACTTGTATTAGTTTTATTATCATGCTTTCTGCTTATGCTAGAGAAGTTACTCTCTCCATCGACTCGTTAACCGTCTCTCCTTGCTTGAGTGTTTTTAGTTATTTTGGTTCTCCTTGGACTCCTTCTGCTTTCCTTTTTCTACAGAAATCATTAAAGTAAATGTTGCACTAAGTTCTCAGCTTTGTGTCTGCATGGTCCTGCGTTTGGACCCTCGGTCCTTCATCATACCTAATAAAAAATGCAATATAATAGGGATACACCGATACTGGTATTCCAATACCGGTATCGGTAAAAGTTACCCGATACCAATGCAGATGGCTGAAAGTGGCTTCACTGTAACTTGCCATTTCTGTTCACCTAATATTTTAGATTTGTGATCATTTCTACTAATATATTTTATTTTTTATCTACCTCAGTCTTTTTGTGTTGAAAGCAGAGAAGAAAGTAAAACCTGTATTCTAATTCATTGCATTGTTTTGTGGGACAGAAGTATCAGTATTGGTAATCGGTATTGGCGAGTACTCAGACCCAAGTATCGGTATCGTATCAGTTTGGAAGAAAGTGGAATCGTTGCATCCTTACAATGTAATGAAGGAGTTATGAAAGCAAAACTTTGAACAGTTATAACAGTAAAAATTTAAGGGAATATTTCTGACCTCTGGTGACCTTTGGTGCTGATCATGGAGACAATAAAGATGAATAAAAACCTGTCTCACTCTGCATCTGCAAGACAGCATTCTGAGTTCATCTGTTACTCAGACAACAATATAAATACATTATCACTAATCTATTAAGTGGTAAATGGCCTGTATTTGATATAGCGCCTTCTAGAGTCCTGGAACCCCTCAAGGCGCTTTACAACACAATCAGTCATTCACCCATTCACACACACGTTCACACTCTCATCAGCAACATTAGACTCATATTTACCAAATCATTTGAATTATTTTTAACAAATAAATAATAATGAAATATCCACAGTTTTTAATGTTTTTACCTTCGGCTCTGTTCGGTTCAGGACTTCCTTCACCTTTTCAGGTGAGTGAAAGCGCTTTATAGATCAAGTTGAAATGAAACATCAGAATATTTCAGCAAAGCAAATTTAAGAGAAAATACGTCATTTAAAAGATGTTTCAAAAGGACACATTTGGGTGCAGAAAGTACAAAACTTTGTCAGTTTCTGACCTTTTTCATCAAATCAAACACGACTTTGCGTCTGAATCCTGTGGAAATTTACATTAAATGTGACATTTTTGTCTGCGTTTTGTTTGGAAGACAGAACTGGGGTTCCCCCTCCTCTACTCTGAGATCAGTGTGTGTGTGAGTGGGTCTATCGCATGTTTCCACTTCTGTTCTTCAGTCCCTTTTACCTTTGACATTTAGGCCAACCCCCACACACACTCTTCCCCCAGCGGATGCTCCATGCGAGGGGCCACAGTAAAGACACACAGTCCTCGGCTACTGGGGATTTCCCCTGGTGTTGTACAGGTGTGTGTGTGTGTGTGTGTGTGTGTGTGTGTGTGTGTGTGTGTGTGTGTGTGTGTGTGTGTGTGTGTGTGTGTGTGTGTGTGTGTGTGTGTGTGTGTGTGTGTGTTCTGTCCACTTTCAGGGGACTCCCAGACTGACTTGCAGACTGAGGGGGAGGCACAAAGGTGACAGCGAAAGTTTAAATAGCAAATCATCAAAATAAGTGCTTACAACTCATCAGGTAGTGACCAAGATCTGTTTACAAAGCTATCACAGAGAGACCTGTGACTTGGGGTCAAACACTTGTTAGAAATGTAAAAATTGAAGGTGAAACTGGATTAAAATGAAAAATAAAACACCAGTAGGTGCCACGGTTTGGAAATGAATAGGTAGCGTTTTCTAAAGCGCTGTCAACCCGACTCTGTGTGTGTGTGTGTGTGTGTGTGTGTGTGCACGTTTGGCCCAGGAGGACTCAGGTGTCCTTTGTTTCAGTCTAATCCAGGAAGTTCACCAGCAGGAGAGGAAGCCAGCGGGGAGCTCTGTTCGCGTCTTCCCTCCTGCATCTCGCTGTTTTTAGAGCAGGAGTGATGAGCCCACCCTGATGGGGTGCATGGATGCAGGTCTTCTTCACAGCTGACATGTTAACGTGTCATTGGAAGTTACGGTAAAGATGTCTCTCTGTGCAATGGAGGTGTTTTAGAGTCCCACCAGGACTTGAACCTGCAGCAGACAGCTGGACCCATAATGATTGTTTGTCTGATTCATTCATCATGACTTGTTATGTTATACAACAACCTCCACATGTCTGGAAGCCTGTGTGGGATTTGGGAATTTAACATTTGCACTTGAAAGGTTGTTATTTTGTGTTGTTTAACAAAAAGAAAACCTACGCACGGCCTCAAGGAGATTCTGGTCCACCATCCTCGGGGGGGGGGGGGGGGGGGGGGGGGCAGCGTGCTACCAACACGGTGTGCTGCTGACCTCTACTCAGGACGCTGTGGATCGGTGGACTTAGACCTCCTCAATCCCACCAGCATGTCTTCCAGTGAGGAAGCAGAGTCTGAGGACTTTTGGTTGGACTCTCCTATCTCTGGTGCTGAGATCACCGAGGTGGTCAAAAAACTCCTTGTGTCAAGAGTAACGTCCAGCAATGGTCAGTTTTTAGGTACAGCTTGACCGTTCAACATCTGGTCAACATCTGGTCAACATCTGGTCAACATCTGGTCAAAGAGGAGACACGAGACTGCACGTGTCCCCTTTAAATCAGCCTGCCTTCATCCCACCAGCTGGAGCTCAGAGCTTCTCTGCAGCTCTGAACACGGATAACGAAAAGTCAACAATAACATTCTCTCCTCAAGGTCCAACCTTTCAGGACTCTTCATGCCTCCATATAAGGAACACTCGCAGCCCGGATTTCCTAAATCAGATATGAACTTCTACACCTTATGAGCCAGTCATTAAATAAACGTTTGTTTATTGCTACTTATAATAATTATAATATAATGAAATGTTTCATTAATCTGTGCTCAGTGACTGAAGTGTGAAATGAATGTTATGTTATGATTACAGTGATTGAAACATGTGTCAGCGTGTTGATATGACGAGGTCGTCACCATTTGCACTCACACAAGGACAAAGTAAGGTAAAGTTAAACTCTGACACATAGATAGTCCTTTACCCAGATCAGAGCCTCCGGGTCAAAGAAGGCGTGTTTCTGAGTTTCTTGGTAATATTCCTCAAACTTGTCAACCTCTGGTTGGCTACACAAACCATAACATGAGAACATTAAAACCAGATTACTCTGGTTTTTCATCAGTTCTAGAGAAGCTTCAGACCGGCCGTCTGAAGCAAAACCTCGTTAACCATCAAAGCTTTTGACACGTCGTCAAAACCTTTCTGCACCTGCGAAGCTGACACCGCAACAGTTCCTGCAGAACAAGCTGATGTCGTTTAGACTCCTTAAGAGTCCCAGACGCGCGGTTCCATCCGTCTGTCGTGACCTGGAGACAACTCTTAAGACCGGTTTAGTGGGGCCGCAGTTTCTTCTACGGACCTCGTGCCTGGAAGTCCGAGGACTTCGACATTCCAGATCTATGAAGAGGGTCTTCGAGTGGGTATGTAGACACGACAGATAGCGTCTGATGCGTTTTTGATAAGAATCAACTTGTTAGCTTAACACAAACCAAATACTTTTACATCCAGAACTCGGCTCTCCTAGATACGGAAGTTCTGATAACACCACATTCACACCTAGGTTCATGCATCACATCTAGATCCATCCATCACAGTAAATGTTAGTTAACCTGTCGTGTTTTAATTGCTGTAAAATAAATTCAAACTTTTATAAACCTGACTGTTTTCTGAATCAAAACGAAGTGTGTACAATCTCCTAATAAACAAAGAATCCTAGAATCTTCTGATGAACACAGTAAAGACCAGGCAGGCTGATATTCTATATTTAGATAGAGTATCACAGCTTATTGGTCATAAGTAGAGGTAATATATATACATATATATATATATATATATATATATATATATATATATATATATATATATATATATATATATATATATATATATATATAGAGAGAGAGAGAGAGAGAGAGAGAGAGAGAGAGAGAGAGCTCTTAAAGCACTAAATTTACCAAACCCTACACAAAGCTCCGGTGTGGATGAGAGCCGCCCGGAATTCCTTGAGACTTTAGATGTTGTGGGGCTGTGTTGGCTGAAGTGGCTCGGCAGTATCGCGTGGACATCGGGGGCAGTTTCACTGAACTGAGCCTCCCTGGTAAGGTCTATTCAGGGGTTCTGGAGAGGAGGGTTCAGCGGATTGTTGAACCTCAGATTCAGGAGGAGCGATGTCCTGGCCGTTGAGGAGTTGAGGGCATCCATTTTGGTGGTCTGATCCCGGTTTCACACTGCAAGCATCAGCGGAATGGAACAGCAGAGCGGCTCACTCGCAATCTTCAAAGCGGTCCTTTCCACACTGGAAGAGTCTTGGCCGCGGCACGGCTTCCTCGCTGCGCCTCGCTGTACTCGCGAGATTCTAAAATCCCTCGAGATTTTTGCCATCCTTCCTCATCGAGAGATCACAACCCCCGTGAGGAATCACCCCGTTGCACTTCTCGAAAGAAACTGGCGGTAAACAAAGCCGTTCGGTCACACGTGCTGACGTATAACATGGCAACGTTGCATTTTATTTTGAAATAACCGGGTATTTTACATTGAAACCATGTGTGGTTTCCTGTCTCGCACTATGTGAACTGCGGAAATTGACGTGTCCCAGAAGCGGCTTGTGGAAAAAATAGAACTTGATCCTATCTTTAGCGGCGCGGCGCGGCATGACGCTTCTGGGACACGCCTGAATATTGCCGCGTCGTGGCTGGTTTGAAACCCTCCATAGACCATAAATGGATTCTA